GACTGTTTGGCTTTTGGGTCTCGTTTGTAATTTTATAGCAGTTGAGAGCGAGCTAAAATGTAAACCACTCACTGGTATCTCTACATCAAACACGGAGGTGCCCTGAGTTCTCATTTGGTGCAGCAAATGCATCCCGATCTTGGGATTTTTACCGTGAGTCTACCCTCACATTAACCCCTGCGCTTGTATATTATGCTCTCTTTCAAGTCCTCCAGCTGTATGCTCGAATGGTATTGCTTCACACTGTTCTTAAAACAGTTCCAAATCGTAAATCTTAAGATGAAAAGGACTTTCAGACACAAAACAAACTATGTCGAAAAGTGGAAAATGAGTAAAATTGTAAAAAAAAAAAAAAAAAAAGGCCTTGAAAAAGTATCCATACCTCTAACTTTCACATATTTTGCGTCAAGAAGAATCACGGTGGGTCCAGCGTTTTGCTGTGTGGGGCTTTTCTTCAGCAAAGACAGGAAACTGCTCATATGGAAAAGTTGAAACTATAAGTGTCTACTTTAAAGGTGCTCTACTAAGATGACTTAGATAACTAAACTCTTTGATCTGCATGCAAAATCATATATGTGGGGAAAAAAATTAACACTGCACATGTTGAAACATGGCGAAGCATGGGGGTGGCTGCATCATGGTGTGGGGATGCTTTTATTCAGCAGATAATGGAAAGCAGGTCAGCAACGAAAAGCCAGGCTACATTTTCATTCTTAAAAAAAAATTGCAATCGTGAACTGCTTTATGTTGGACCAGCACAGGGAACCCCAGTAAAATAAGATTTAAGCGTTATACCTTGCAAAAGTATTCAAGGGGTATACATACCCAATAAAGACATGCTTAAGTTGTTTTTGAAGCTAAATCTTATCTTGGGATCAGACTGAAATCTGTTGTTTGTGCACATTGTGGAAAAACTGGAGGCCTTAATCCCAGTCCAACCTCTACAGATCGCAGCGATCAGAGGGGCTTCGGGATGAGCATGCTCAGTGACATTTTTAAGTGTGACTATTACTATGCCGATAGTAAAGTGTCATTTTTGTTCCTGTTACTTGATAGAGCTTGATGCAAAGTTATGCTGGTGAACACATATTTAGAGATCTTTTTTCCGTTTAATTACATGGTTGCTGTCTGGTCGTCTTTACAAGCATAGAATTGAAAGTCAGTTTTTTTTCCCCCCCAACTTCAGTTATTCTGAGCATCTCATCTTTCCATGGGGTAACATTATCTAACACAGTTTGACATGTACAACCAGAAATAAAGCACTGATGTGTCTCTACACAAGAGACACATCAGTCGCTGTGCATCAGCAGTCTGACATTTTTACATGTATATATGTGCTAAAAGTGTCGGTTCTATTCTCCCTCATGTTGCTTCTCAAGTGATCTTTTTTCAACTCGGATACCGTTGCTTCACCTTTCTAATTCTCCCTTCGCCCTTTTGTCATGTTGACGGATAACTCTGCTTGATTGTGGATAACAGAATCCATCTGGTTGCAAAGACGTTGCTGGAGGTGAAAGGGGACAGAGACCACGTAGGTCCTCCACATAATGCACATACCACAAGCTGTTTTCCTGTGAAAAGATAAGGTCACCGAAATAAAAAGTCTCTTTGATGGGAGTATCTAGTCTGCTGTGCGCAGCCTTATCCAGAACTGTCAGCCAGCATCATTCGCTCGTTTCGTCTCTGGCCCAACTTGTCCACACATTGTCGTTAGCCTTCAGCCCTAAAGACAGGGACTCTTGACCCTATGGGCTGCTGGGATTTAATTGCTGAAGCCCACTTCATCATTCTAAAGTCAGACCTTATTGAATTTGAGGCCCCGCTGACAGAAACCTGCTCTTATCTCTGCTGGATAATAAGGGAGCTATAGGAGAGGGGAAATGTGATTATCCCTTATGCCTCTTCAGTTTTCCAAAGTGCTGAATTATGTTTGTCACTTTGAGCAACACAAAGTAGTTCACATGTTCCGTAATTCAGAGTTTTGGCACATTTCAGGCCCTTGTGTTGCTTCACATGTTCACCTGCCAACAAGTTTTTCTTCTGATAAAACCAAACAATGTCAGATTCACGTGCAGATTTTAATGGATCTGCAATGAATCCAATCCTTTGTTTATAAACCCCCAAAAAGCTTCCTGCAAATCTTAAAAAGCCAACCACAGAGCCAAGATCACTTTTTTTCCCCCAAAACTGCCTGCCTCAGGAATGTTTCAAAGTGCACAGGGGAGAGAAAAGGAAATTACAAGTCGAGAAAGGAGGACGACAAGTCAGGAGGGGGGCATTCCTCCACTATGTGCGGGATTACAACTTGCCTTTCTACTATCTCTCTCTGCACCTCCTCTCACAGCAATCACTCACCGCAGCAGCAACGTCCCAGCTGCGCCGTATCTGAGCTGCCGATCAGCACAGGCCTGCTGCAGCCAAAGAGAAAAGACAACAGCAGAATCTAACCTTTCAAGTTCCAGTTTATCTGCGATCGGGCCGAATCCCTCCCCGTCCACCTCCGCCACAGTTTCTCCTCCGCTGGGTTTGATCAGATGTGCCTGGCCCAGTTTGGAGTGAGGCACACTCAAATAAACATTTTATCCCCGAGGAAGCAGTGGTAGAAATACCACAGTGATTATTTTTAAGGGAAATATTCTCGGTTTTATCCTTGTGGTGCTTTTGCTTTTCTAAAGCTGCTTGATGTTGCTGTGTATTCTGGCTCTGGACACTTTCCTTTTGCCCAGAATATTGGTAAAGTTTTTGCTTTTAGTTCTTAGAAAACAAGCATCCCCTCTAGCTACTGTTTGATTCTCCCTGCCCACCTGCCTTCTGGTTATCTTTTGAGATCTCTTAATTTCCATAAAATCAATAAATTATTGATTATATCATTGTACTGGAAACCTTTAGATTCAGTCTGGTGACAAGTGAGGTTTGAATTAAGTTTTTATAGCAAAAACAACTTCAATTCTCAAAACAAACAAATAAAATGCTGCTACTTTAGACTGTTTCTGAGCTACTCACTCTGAAACACGACTATTATAGAACTCTGTTTAACACAAACCCCTGCAGGACCCCCCGAGTGTAAATTATATGTTAACTGCAACCCTTCACCTCTGCTGCTCATTCATTTGTAGCCAGCAGCGAGCTGTTGCCATCAGATGCTGTCATTACTTTTTCAACAAGGTTTTCCATAAACAAATCTAAGTCTGAGTGGAGTTTTTATACAGTTGCTGTGCAGAACTGGAAAGGGCTTTCCTGCTGTTTGTAGATGGTGACTCTAAACCGATATAGATACACACCACACTTTTCAGACTTTCTTTGGGAAAAACAAACAAACAAACAAAAAACATTTAAATTATAATTACATATTTTTCCTTCCACTCTACAACTGTTTGCTACTTGGTATTGGTCTAAGACTAAAAAGTACAACTGGAACAGATTTTGTTTTGGTGCAACAGGACAAAATATAAAAAAGACCCAGCAAATCAGAATCCAACTACAGCAACATGCCATCATTTTATAGATTTTTTTTATTTCAATGTTAAATTGTTCTCTGTACAAACAAGATACATGAAAAAGATACACCAAACCTTACATTAGTTTTTTTTCAATACTTAACAGAATAAAGAAACAAAATTGAGAATAATCTCGTCTAAATTAGCTGACTTGCACCTCATGAGGAATTTCCATGAAGTATTAACATGATTCTGAAGTAATTATTTACATATGGAAATGGAAATGAAACAGTTGCCACATAAAAAGAGGGATGGATAAACATTTCCTTTAAAATTTCTGGTGAAATAGGTTGCATCAGTCGTGAGAACACAATGTTCTGAATGTACTCTGTATAAGATTCTTGGTTCCAAAAGTTGGGTACTATCGAGGTGTTTGGCAAAGTATTTGTGCAGGCAAAGTCTGCACAAAGACACTTTGTGCACAAAGACACTTTGTGCAGGCAACAACTGCAATTTATAAAAGCCTGACAAATTACCTATAGCGTTCAAACTGTAAAATATACAACATATCATAAATGTAACTACATAGGTTTGGAAATGAAGTCCTTATTCTTAAAAAAAATTTGAGTTGGGATAGGAAGGTTTAGACTCACTTTGGGGCAATAAAGCAAAAGTGCATTTAATTATCTTTTCCTTTTACTTCTGGGCAATATTCAGCAGATACATGTTGCTTCTTCCCGCACGCTTGTCTCACTTGATAGCATTGGATGATAAATGGCTACACAGACTTGTCTGAAACTGGTTTCTTCTTTATCTCCCCCCCTCATCCCTATTCTCTTCTCCTTTCCATCATCCTTTGAAGTAGCGTGCTGACACTCCACTTCAGCAGTTGTTTAAATAAGTTTGGACTCAGGTGAAATGGCTTAAAGCATGGGAATATATCCGTTTTAAAATCTATTCATCTTTATCACTATATTTCAACTCTTAATGTTGTAGAAGCACTTGTTTGGCAACTATCACAGGCTGTCAGTCTGGATGACACAGAAAATGTTTATCTTGCACCTATATGTGGGAAGGCAGTTCTAGATTATCAGCTCTTCTTCATGTGTAGTAGGATACAAATGAATCATCGGCAGATGCTTTGCTACATGCAGCACGACATTCATGCAGCCGCTCAAAAGTGACTTTGTATGATGAGGCAAAACTGGAGTGAACAGAATGTTAATTGTTACTTTTACCAGTTTCACAGATTCTTGAGGTTTAGAGAACTAAACTAAGTTAAGAAAAGTATACATGTAATTTTTGACTTAGACCAGTGTCAGCATGGACAAGAATCAGTGTTGTGCTTCTGAATCCAAAAGCAGAAATCACAAGGCCCTATTCTTGGAGTCAGAAGTCTTTGATTATGGTCCTAAAATGCAAGGTTTTTAGTACTCAGTGTGGACTAAATTAAACTTGCCTTTGCCTAATTACAAAGTTATGGTGAGGCTTTCTTTATCTTTCTTTTATGCAGAATATTTCTAAGAACCCAATTGTTAACTGTGTTTGTTTTTCTTGTCTTAGGTAAAGCATGGCCCAAGAGAGATTCTGCACCATGAAGGTCTTTCTCAGTCCATTGATGTCCCTTCTGCTCCTCCTCATCCTTCCTGACGGCCTCCTTTCCAGCAACTGTCCACAGGATTGCTTGTGCTCCAATCCAGGGAACATTTTATGCTCCCGAAGACGCTCCTCTACCATTCCTGGCAAATTGGACTCATCAACCAAAAACCTCTTCCTGTTTGCAAATGGGATTGAAGGCATTGCAGCTGAGGACTTCAATGGACTACTTAACTTGGAAATGCTGGATCTGAGTCAAAACAAACTTACTGATCTTCCTGAAAGAGTGTTTGAGCCATTGAGCTCTTTAAAAAATCTGGACTTGTCATCCAACCAGATCACCTACATTTCAGAAAAATGCTTCCATGGAATGCCGCAGCTGGAGCGCCTTTATTTGTACAGCAATCATATAGAAAAGATCCATCCAGCTGCATTTAATGGCTTGGAGAACCTTCTGGAACTCAAATTGCAAGGTAATGTGTTGACAACTCTGCCCCTCCTCTCATTACCCAAACTACTACTGCTGGATCTGCGTTTTAATGTCTTGCCCTCGTTAAATACTTCCAAGCTTCAGACCCCCAACCTGGAGTCACTCAGACTTGGTGGTGTTGGACTTACCAGCCTAAATAATGAGCTTATAAGAAATTTAAAGAATCTTCATGAATTGGACATTTCAGAAAACAAACTCGAGTCTTTCCCCTCAGCACTAAAAGAGACACCAGGGCTGTTTCATCTTAATCTTGCTGGCAACCCAATGGGCCCTCCAAAGATTGAGGACCTGCAAAACCTTGGTGAGTTAACAGAGTTGGACATAAGCAGTCTCAGTATACAAGGTCTTCCTGAGGAGTTTTCCCAGCTCTTCCCCCATTTAGAAAAACTAGCAATTGCCGAAAATCCCTTCAACTGTCTTTGCAACCTAGCATGGTTCCCAAGATGGCTTAGAGCGCAGAGCATCACCCTGGAGAGAACAGAGGAGACACGCTGTCATTTTCCACCCATCAGTGCTGGAAAAGTATTAAAAAGACTGGAAACAAGGGATTTTGGCTGCCCAACCACAACTGCAATGACAACTACTACTGTCAAAACTACAACTACCACCCTGCCTGCTCCTGTTACCACATTACCAACTACTACCAGACCTATCCAAGTCCCCAGAGCCAGTGAAAAGACACCTAGCAAAGGTGGTGATGTTCCTCTGCCTTCTGTCCCTGCATCTCCAAGCAGCAGCAGTATTGACCTAGTTGAAGAAAAGCAGTTCTGTCCCAAATATCCTTGTCTCAATGGAGGCACTTGTCAGTGGACTCTCCGTGGTTCATTTGTTTGTGCCTGTCCAGATGGCACATCTGGACAATTCTGTGAAATTCAGAGCCACTCTTCAACTTATCCAACTGAAGCTGTTCCATCCAAGTCCACCATTGTCACAAAGACACCAGACATCACTTCGCATCAAGCAACGGCCACATCAATTCTGATAGATCTTCACCGCTATGTTAAAATGCGGCCTCACATCCGTGGAATCCGTCTGACCTACAGAAACCTCTCTGGGCCGGACCGCAGACCAATTCCACTCAACCTTCCAATAACATTCCAAGAGTACACACTTCGAGGTTTGAAACCCAATTCCACCTACAACGTGTGTGTCAGTCCTATAGGTGCTGCGAGCGATGCCGAGAGTGTTTGCACTCAGGCTCATACTAAACCTGGATCTTCTGGCACCGGTGCACAAATTGACACCAGTGCATATGCAGGCACTGTGCTTGTGCCTGCATATGCCATCATGATACTGCTGTTCCTCATAGCGATAGCAGTGGCAATGGTTTTCTTTCTTCGGAGAAGGAGAGCCAAGACCCACCTGGATCTAGATTGTGAACCCTCCCAGTTGGGGATGGATGGAGTTAAAGCCGGTTTGGATAATGGAGCTCTGTTTCACAAGCAGCCACAACTTATGATCCCTGAACCTTCTGTCCAAACAAGTAGTATGGAGTATGAGGTGTTATTAATACAAGATCATTGTTCATCAAATAACAATATGCCCATGCACAAGCCTTCTTACTTTTGACAGCAGGCCTTGATGACTTATTTCTAAAAGAGAGTTGTATTTCCTCTGCCGTGTCCTGCCAAGTGGAATAATCAGAACACATAGAGCAAGGTCTGCTGGTTGAAAGTGGAGGACGCAGAACCAGGCAACTAATCAGCAAAAAAGAAGCTGGACTTACTATCAATTCACTGCTCTATGGTTGTCCAAGAAGAGACTGAAACATGGGAACACTTTATGCTTGGACTTTAGAACGCACTTATGGTGTTTCTATGCTGAATGCTACAATGTCCATCAACCAACATGCTGTGATGCTGAGACTATTGGTTTTGGCTGCAATTTAGGGGTTGGGACACTTAAAAAGCTCATGCACTCCTCTATGTGCGCTGCATGTGCACTGAAATGAGCTTGTACTGCCGTTCCCCATCACAGAAAGCAGCATGAACAGTCTCAGTAGTTGGTTTTGAGGCGTAGTGCAAACTCTTCAGTACTTACCAGAAGGAATCAGTGTATGCTGTGAATGATCTTTTAACCCACCAAATGAAGTTGTACAGAGAAAATAACTGATGCTTGTATTGCTTTATTTGGATGAAATTGTTTTATAAACATGTTTTTTTTTTTAAATACTTGTATTTTTTTATTGTTGTTAAATATTGTGATGTTAAAACCTCTCATAACCCTCCCCCTTGCACCCTCAACTCACTTCTTGTGACTAACAGACAAAAAACATCAGATTAAAACCTTTGAAGATTAAAACTCATTTGGTACCAGTAAAGTCAGTCATAGGGTTTTACCTCCAGAATATCAGACAGTCTGAGTAGATGGGAGTCTGGAACAAATCAAGACTAAATCCCCCCCATTATAAAGAGAAAGAGAGAAGCAGGATTACAACAAGGTACAGAGGAGAGGAAAGGACTGAAGGTCTTGTAATTCTATGTTCAATGCACTGTTTTTAAACAGCTATAACATTTATTTTGCTGAAAATTCATCACATAAATCTCCGGCGACTATTTATTGTTTATGTCTCATTTTAAGGTAACTCAGCTATTTGTTTAAGACAACTTCAGTGCAACGCAGTTCATGGTCTGGTGGTAAAATGAGCAAAGCAAACAGTTCACATGTACCGTGTTTCATATGAGTAAAAATAGCATGCCCGATGGCGTGATAGGAGCTGTTACCTTTTGACAAGGGAGACACTAGCTTTGCATGCTTGCATCTAGCCACACTATGCAAACGTCATTTGGTGTCCACACTGTTTGAGAAGAAAATGAGATTTGCAGAGATCCACTGGAAGATCATCAAAAAGACCCAGAGAGAGCCAAGATCCGTATCTGTGAATCTTACGCAAAGAATGATAGTAAATACTGTTTGTTTAAGCAACTGTGATAATCCAGCTACATGTTCTGTCTTGTGAAAACAAAAACCAACAGATAGAGTTGCTATCATTTACTTCCTTGATATGCCCGCATGCGTTGGCGTACCCCGAGCCGCAGTGACTATTTGTAGGCAAACGCACCAAAGACACATCCGTGACTGCCTTTTTACTTACCCTACTGATCCTACACAAACCCAAAAGCCTTTAAAACAAGAGTAGCAAACTGGAATATTTGTCTGTAAAATAGATAACATTGAGAATAGCCAAAAGTATTTTCAATGTGTTTTTTTTTTTTTCCTTGTTATTTAGGGAAATTTTTTATTGCGTATTGCTTTTTTTTATTGTGTGAACTTATTTGTATAAATGGAAAAAAAGTGATATTTACATTAAATGAATACCTAAAAGTAAGTTTTTGGTGGTTTTTTCCCCCCTTGTATTTAGAGTTCAGCAATTGAAAGGATGGTTCATATTAGGAGGGAGGAAAGGTGGGAATGTAGGGAATGTGTTTGTCATTAACTTCTCTGTTACGCCATCACTTAGAGCGAGAGGAAGCCATAACAGGAGGGGGTGAGCAGTGAAAGAAGGGAAGAAAACTCCAAATGCAGGTATAAAATAGCAATATATCACTCATCAGCACATGTTTTGGCTGTGAAAATGTGAATTTTAAAGTAAACCCATGCAAACAGTTTCAAGTGCCAAAATCCATAAACTGATGTCTAAAGCTTGTAACTTAAACAAATAAATCAACTTCTAAACATGAAATTCCAACAACCTTGTGAACAAAGCTTTATACCAAATTCACTGGTATAAATGCTTTATACCAGTGAATTTGGTATAAATGCTTTATACCAAATTCACTGGTATAAATGCTTTATACCAAATTCACTGGTATAAAGCATTTATACCAGTGAATGGCTTGTGGAAAGTCTCTTAATGCAATTGGTAACTAGAAGTTATTTAAGGATGAACACAATTAGGAATATTTTTTTTCCACTTCAAAATCATGCACTACTATATGTAAAAAGGAAAGTATAAACATAAAAAATATCCAACAAAATACATTATTCATAATGTGGGAAACTGAAAAAGTCCAAGGGATATGCAAACATTTGCAAGGTGCTAAATTTACACTGAAACAACAACAACATCATTTCCTGGCACCCCCTCTCGTGCTAAAAACAACCAAATTTTGAAACTATGGGTTTCTTTTTTCCAAGAGTACAAATCATTAAATGCAAACATCTTACAGTACAAATGTTGTACTTTTTTTTTTTTTTACCTCTTTCTCTCCAGCAGTGAGTGGTTTTCCTAAGCAAATACAACCCACACTGCTTTATGATGAGAACTATAAACACAAAGTCTTGGACTTATGCCTAAGCTGGAGGCAAAATGGAAGTAAAAGAATATAATTAAAAACATTCAGATTCAGGTAGTAAGTGAATGTAACCATTGTGACTGCTGAGCTACCAACTGAGTGAGCATTGTTTTGCAGACTCCTGCACTGAACAGGATGACCACCCAGGTGTTTTATAGGTAAAGGGAATTGGTAGGAGATGGACGTAGGACCTACACACACACACACACACACACAAAGGAAAACATGAATATAGATTTTCCCATAGCTTGGAGCTGTTGTGTGATGTTCCACGCTAACAACACAAACCCATAAAACAGCACCACTCCCCTCATGCTGGCAAAATTTGTTCAGTTTTATCAGAGAAAAGACGTATTTTGGTGAATTACGAGATACAACAAACCCATTCAATGATATCACTAAATTAAACTTTCCCTTGCCTACCAAGATGCTTGTAAAATTTACCCTTCGGCCAAACTATTATGACCCCCTCTAAAATACTGATACTAATTGGTCATCATTAGCCATGAGGGAAGAATAAAAGCTTCGGGGTGTGACCTGGGATACTTCAAACTGGACTTTTAGCAATGGATGTTTTTGTCCTCTGGGTTGTAAGGAGGGACGTTGTGGATTAGGTTTGCTTCAGTAGAAGCAATTAGAGACTATTAAATTAAATTGTCAATTAACTGTGGCCTATTTGGTGCAGGTTTCCCTAGCCTGTCTCAGGCCTGATTACTTCCTAACTTACAGAATCAAGAAATTACGTACATAGGACCTTTTCAACAGTAGAAACAGGCTAAAAGATCTAGAAAAGCAACACATGTCAGTCTCTAAACACATTCAAGGACAGGATTCAAAGTGGTTGAGATCCATCAGTGCAGAAAGATTGACTTTAACTTATTGCAAATGATTGACGGCAACAAACTGCTAATAAACTAATGACATTGTCTCCTTTATAAATTAAATAAATTTGAAAAATGCTTTTTTTGTATATACACTCGTAATATTTATCCGATATAAAAATTTGTTTAATGATCTAAAACATTCAAATGTGAGCTATATCTCAACACAGACAGGGAGAAAATACTTTTTCAAGACCCTTAAGCCTACTGTGTCTAATAGTTCAGGCAAAGTAAGAAAAAAAAAAACAAATATGGAGATTGTGCATCTTAACGCAGTTGAAACAAATCAATAATGCTTTTGTCCAATATAAAGGGTTTGTTTGTACTCTTTAGTCTGTTTCTGTTCCTTCTTTAGTTATATTATTCTTTGTTGTGTTGAGCTTTTAGATAATTCATGCCTCTGGGGCTTACCTTTCAACTAATCATCAAATCTCACATTAAATTCATACCACACCGCTAAGAGGTCACCATAACAGGTTCAAGGGACGAGTTTCCTGCTGACTGAAAGTCATCGTGAAATTAATTACACATTTCTTTTACAATATTCTTTCTTCACCTCCTTACTATTCTCGTCTAAAGAAGAAATAACTGTCGGCCATAAATCTATGCGCACTGGCCCAGGTAATAAGTAGCTTTTGTATTTTCTCTAAACCCCTCAGTCCATCATCCCTCCCTCTCACTGGCCCATTTTTCAGTCGACCACAGCACAGATGACCTTTCCGTAACCTCAAACCACCTCTTCAGCTATAGAAACGATTTATACTTTGTGAAAAAAAATTACAGAAAAAAAAAACAACAAAGTGAAGCATCCAGCTAATTATGAAGTATGAAAGAATACAATCTAAACCACATCTTCAATATTTAAAAAAATATATAACTATTCAGGGAAGTAAAAATGAATAAAATTGTTTTTTCAAATGTTTCAATACATTAAGTATTTATTTTACTAAATGAAGAGGAAGATTTATACTTTTATGACTCTGCATTTATGTTCTGTTCTAACAAGGAAAGGCAAAGAAGAGTAAATGGAGGGGGGGAAAGCTGAGCAAAGAAAAGAAAAATATAGCACCACTTTGTTTTTGGAATCAGATTCTCTGGCTCCAGTTTTTGGCCCTCGGCTCGTTTCCCCCCAGCTCTTGGCACATTCCACCTTCCCTCCATCTAAATCTTTCTAAGGAACTAATAATAATGGATGAAGGGTGGTGTGCCACCGGTTCCTCTCAAGCTATATAGCTGCCAGTGTGTGCCAGCAGATGGCCTGAATGCTGCTGCAGCAAAGGAAAACGGCACTGAGCGGGGAAAGATGAGAAGTCAGAAAGAAAGAAAAACAGGAAAAGAAAGCAGAGGAAGAATTTGACTTTGGTTAGTTTCTGGCAGCATTCATTGACAGGCACACATGCAATTCATTTCACATGCTCAAGATTATTAAATATAAAAACAAATGCATCACAGAGATTTTTTCTACCAGAATGTACTTTTAATGGTCTTTTTCAGTCATTTCTGATGCAAGTACAACACAGACTGACGTTTAAGTTTAAAATGCTGCAGCACATTATGAATTAGTTCTGTGTTAATGCATCGAAAAGATTAATGGAGCCCTCAACTTGTACCAGAAAGCTTTATGGGGCTAACATAGCGGCGTATTTGATTTGTTGGCGAGTTTATGTGGCATCCGATTCAGTTTCACCTCTTTAAGTAACTATTCAGGTAGAGCAGTGTTATGTTTTGTTTTCATGGACTTTTACCTCACCACTATCATTGCGGACACAGTGGCTTATATTAAACAATGACCAGCTTTCATTGAAAGCTGAAATGTACTCAATTTTAATTATCTTGATTAAATAATTGCTTTAGCGTTGCATGACAAAATTTACAGAAACGTGAGCACACATTAAGAATAATTGGTGACTGCAAACTAAAGATAAGTTTCGTCTCTGCAGTGACATATATTCACACAAAACTGCAGTTTTGCACTTCTGGCATCTCATTAAAAACAGTTTGACCCACAGAAACTGTATAATGGAAGATTTTAGCACTTTTGAAACCATGACTTTTATTTTTTATTTCGCTGGTATATCTTGACACCTGTAGCTAGCCTATGATATAGTTTCATTAAAAATGTGATGAGTTTAATAAGGGTAAACCTATTTTTCCTGCAGCTACTCTCAGTAGAATGCATTCATTTGATAAATCAGGACCTCTAAAAAGGTGGGGTCAGCTGCCACGCAAACTGTGGTATAAAATAAATTAAAACCAAGTACAGAGAGACTTTATAGCGCCAGTTTATTTATAGTATACGAAGCATTTATTTTACTTTTGCTTCAGCAAAATGAAGGTTGTTTGCTTATCTGTTGTAATATTTTGATTCTACAACTGAACCAGAAAACCACACCACAAAAACCATCAAACCCCAGTAGGAACTTCAAGTTAAAAGTTCCATATTCTAAATCATGATGGTTTGGGAAAGTTTGTTTTGCCATAAATAAGGAAGCCAAGTTGGAAGGTAACCATCTACGAAATCATGTACAATAAAAAAGCAGCGGATGGAAAGAATTATCTGAGAATTAAAGAGGTGGAGTGATGATGAAATGGGAGGACCGATCCGGGGGGAAGGGTGCTGCTGCAGG